TTCGCAGAATGCCGCGTTAATGCATTCCTGCGAGTCAATTCGGTCGCGACCCGAATACCGACGGAAAAGGAATATTCCTCGGATGTAACAAAACGATATCCTTATGATAGGTCCCACGATTCAACCCACTCTGTTTGAGCAGCTTTTACGTTTCCGATCTCATATTTATGTTTTAACAGCCGACATCGAAAAGATGTATCGGCAGGTTCTGATTCATCCTGATGACCGTCGATATCAACGTATTTTTTGGTATCATAACGGCGAAATCACAGTTTGGGAGCTTCGCACAGTAACCTTCGGCGTGTCTTCCGCCGCGTTTTTAGCAATTCGAACTGTTTCACAACTCGCAGACGATGAAAAAGAAAGGTTTCCGTTAGCCTCCCGTATAATCAATCGGGATTTGTACGTCGATAATTTATTGACAGGTGCAAACTCCCTAGAAGAAATTCTACAAATTCGTGACGAGATAATCGAGCTTCTTAAAAACGGCGGTTTCAATATGCGCCAGTGGGCTTCCAATCATCACCACGCGGTCGATAATATAACGGAAAAGATTTTCGATTTGAAACACGCGATGGAAGAAAATCCGATCTTAAAGACGCTAGGGGTTGTATGGAATTCACAATTGGATAAATTTACTTACACTGTGAACGCGATCGATTTGGCTGGTAAAATCACGAAGCGGAGCATCCTAGCAAACATTGCAAAAATCTTCGACCCATTGGGCTTACTGGGTCCCATCATTTTAGTTGCAAAACTGATCATGCAAGATTGCTGGAAGTTAAAAATTGGCTGGGACGAATCAGTGCCGCAGGAGTTGTATGTTCGACGGAGTTCATACGCCGAGCAGCTCCATTTCATTCGCGATTTAAGCATAGACCGCCGAATTTTAGGCGAAAATCCCAATCAGATCGAGATACACGGGTTTTGCGACGCCAGTAAGCATGGTTACGGTGCGTGCATTTACATACGGTCAACCGATCCGAACGGATCTGTCCTCGTCCGGCTGGCGTGTTCTAAGTCTCGAGTTGCGCCTATTAAAGAAATTAACATTCCGCGCCTCGAATTATGCAGCGCGCAGATCCTCGTTCGACTGTACAAAGAAGTGCGCCCAACTTTTCATTTCTCAATCGTCCGAACGATATTCTGGTCAGATTCAACCATTGCATTACAATGGCTCAAGGAATCTCCACGCTTGCTAAAGACGTTCGAGGGAAATCGGGTCGCAGAGATACAAACGCTTGACAATTCGGTCGAATGGCGACACGTACAGTCCCGGTCGAATGACGACACGTACAGTCTTGCAATAATCCGGCAGACGCACTGTCGCGAGGACAAAGTCCTTCGGATTTTTTGCGGAATAACAGCTGGTTTAAAGGGCCCATCTGGCTTAGCCAACCCGAAGGTCAGTGGCCTGTTGGTGCTGATCTTCCGGTTTCCGAGCTTCCGGGACTGAGAAAAAACATATGTTTAGCCACGGTTCCCGTTGTCAATGAATTTTTCAGTCGTTTCTCATCTTATTCCCGGCTCTTGAATGTTACTTCGTACGTTTACCGATTTCGACGCTCTAATCATTATAAGGGAAGTTCCGTTAGCGTGCAAGAACGACTAGAGACCGAGAGAAGGGTCACTTATATTATCCAAAGGGAACGTTACAGCGACGAAATCGAGCGCTTGTCAAAATCGAATCGAGTCAAAGATAACAGGCACGCCGCGCTCGACCCATTTCTCGACGAGTATGGTTTGTTACGAGTTGGTGGTCGATTGCTCAATGCCAAAATTCCTACCGATCGAAAACATCCTATTTTGCTGCCGTCGCACCACCACGTCACGGACTCGATTATTCGGGAAGTACATGAAAGGGCCTATCACGCCGGTATACAGAATACCTTGCATACGGTGCGGCATCGGTATTGGCTGCTTGACGGAAAGAATCAGGTGCGAAAGATCGTGCGTCATTGTGTCACGTGTATTCGTCATCGTCCGTCTTCATTACAAATCCATATGGGAAATTTACCTAAATCCCGTGTCGAAAGGGCTCCGGTTTTCGACCATACCGGTGTGGATTTCTTCGGGCCAATCTTTATCAAGGAAAAAAGGCATCGTAATCGGGCGCGAGTCAAGTCTTACGGTTGTGTCTTCATATGTATGGCGACAAAGGCGGTACATATCGAGATCGTAAGCGATCTAACAACTGAAGGTTTTTTTATGCGCGTTTCGACGTTTCATCGGTCGTAGAGCCATACCATCCCATGTTTACTCCGATAATGGAACAAACTTCGTAGGCGCGAACAATAAACTTCGCGAGCTGTATGCTCTGTTCGGTTCCGAACAATTCCAGGATGACGTACATGTAGGCAATTTTGGAGTGCGGAAAAATATTAATTGGCATTTCAATCCGCCATTATCTCCGCATTTCGGTGGTATATGGAAGGCCGCCGTGAAATCCTTTAAGCATCATTTTAAACGCGTCATAGGCGAGCAATTGCTTACCTTCGAAGAGATTAATACCTTCGCAATCGAAGTAGAGGCAATTTTGAACTCTCGTCCGCTGTGTTCCCTTAGCACTGACCCCAATGACCCAGTGGCTTTAACACTTGCCCATTTATTAGCAGGCCGCCCTCTCACTATGCTTCCCGAGGAGAATTTGTCATCTGTTCCAGCAAATCGTCTCACAGTATGGAGATTTATTACCAAGGCACGCCAGGATTTTTGGAAGAGATGGCAACTGGAGTATTTGAGTGAACTGCAGAAACAGCAAAAATGGTTTAGCGAAAATAGCAATCTTGAACTAGGATCCGTCGTCCTCGTCATCGACAAGAATCAGCCATGCATGAGGTGGCTACTGGGAGTAGTTCAGGAGGTTTATCCCGGAAGTTCTCCTTTCTTAAATTCAATTCAAAGTCAGTGATAGTTTGCAACGAATCCCAACATCGTTTAGTTATCAGGTATGTAAGTTATCATACCTCTGGGTTATTCCCATGACAAACACGCGGTCGTAAGACCCGTAAAGGGGTACGTGCATCGTTTCGACGTTTCATCGGTCGTAGAGCCATACCATCCCATGTTTACTCCGATAATGGAACAAACTTCGTAGGCGCGAACAATAAACTTCGCGAGCTGTATGCTCTGTTCGGTTCCGAACAATTCCAGGATGACGTACATGTAGGCAATTTTGGAGTGCGGAAAAATATTAATTGGCATTTCAATCCGCCATTATCTCCGCATTTCGGTGGTATATGGAAGGCCGCCGTGAAATCCTTTAAGCATCATTTTAAACGCGTCATAGGCGAGCAATTGCTTACCTTCGAAGAGATTAATACCTTCGCAATCGAAGTAGAGGCAATTTTGAACTCTCGTCCGCTGTGTTCCCTTAGCACTGACCCCAATGACCCAGTGGCTTTAACACTTGCCCATTTATTAGCAGGCCGCCCTCTCACTATGCTTCCCGAGGAGAATTTGTCATCTGTTCCAGCAAATCGTCTCACAGTATGGAGATTTATTACCAAGGCACGCCAGGATTTTTGGAAGAGATGGCAACTGGAGTATTTGAGTGAACTGCAGAAACGGCAAAAATGGTTCAGCGAAAATAGCAATCTTGAGCTAGGATCCGTCGTCCTCGTCATCGACAAGAATCAGCCATGCATGAGGTGGCTACTGGGAGTAGTTCAGGAGGTTTATCCCGGAACTAGTGGTTCTCCTTTCTTAAATTCAATTCAAAGTCAGCGATAGTTTGCAACGAATCCCAACATCGTTTAGTTATCAGGTATGTAAGTTATCATACCTCTGGGTTATTCCCATGACAAACACGCGGTCGTAAGACCCGTAAAGGGGTACGTGCATCGTACTCTTTCTGACTACACACACGCGGTCGTAAGATCCGTAGAGGGGTACGTGCATCGCACTCTCTCTGACTACACACACACGGCCGCAAGGCCCGCAGAGGGATGCGTCAATCGTGCTCTCTCTGACTACGTACGCGGTCATATTTATGATCCGTTTCGGGTTTGCGCCTTGCGCAATCACCCTAGTTACACGCACACATCTCACACTCACATGAACGAGTTAAATACACGATATTTCACAAGGTTTTTTGACCGCAAGGTTTTTTTCCTGGGGGTTTACACCCAAAATTATTGTTGTTTTTTTATTTAACGACACCTGTCCTTTTTGCATGAACAACGTGACTCAGACACGAGATTTGAGTTTCGACGCGTCAACATAGGTGTATGTATATTGTGTATTTAGTCGAATAGACATTACTATATTTTATTATATATTCTGTAAGAGTATTAATTAATTCATTCGATTTTATTTCAAGAATATGCAATGGCAACATTTAACTTATATGTAGCAGAGTACGACTGGTTTTATATGTCATTAAGTTTGCACAAAATATTATTGTATGGTTCAGATACAATACAAAGTGCTGGTTTGCCCATTGGAATGTTTTCTGAAGAAGCAATGGAGGCTCGAAACAAAGATTTCTGAAATATTAGAAGGGACCACACACGAAAATATTCTCAATTAGAAACATTGACGGACCTTTTTCAGACTTTATTATATACGTTCGCGTTTTAATATTTTCAAGGATGAAATAGAAAAATTAATGTTACAAGAAGACCTACAAGACGATGACACATAAATAATAATAAATAAATTTTAGATTAATAAATTAATATATTGTAAAAACCTAGTGAAAAATGTATCTACATGGTATGTTCTGAAAGTAATGTCAGTGACTTTATTGTGACGCGACTTCACGTCGAACCGCGATTTTTTCGAGATTTTTTCGATTGAAATTGGTAGTACGGGAAGTCAGCTAAACAGATCTCCGCTGCTGAAGGTGCTCCGAGCATCCGGAGAGTGAGGACGAGCCTATCCGTGAGAATTGTTTTGTGTCACTGTACAAGTCAAAATGAAGCGCTCGTTAGAACAAAGAATTGCGATCAAGTTTTGCGTGAAACTTGGAAAGATCGCGACGGAAACGGTTGCTATAATTAAGTCAGCTTATAAGGAAGATGCCTTGTCAGATCAGCAAGTGTTTCGGCGCCACACGGGACGGGCGATGTTGATTTCCACGAGTCGCGACGCGGCGGACTGCTCAAACGGCGTTCGCGCCATTCTGGGTTTTGATCACGCCTTCCGAAATCAACGCGACGCGGAGATTCGTTCTCTCTAAAGTTTCTATTTGATCGCCAGTCAGGGGCTCCGTCACGCTGTTCAAAATTCACGCGGCGCACTTCGGTACGGCCCTGTCTCGACTTTTCTAGTTCTAGTCTCTTGAACACCGAGATGGCTTCTCTAAATACGCACTTTAAAGGTTCGGCCGCGACCACTTTCACTTCTAAGCGCATGGGTGACATCAACCCATCAATAAAACAGCTTTTCGCGAAATTGTTAATTTCATCGATATTAGGCGTGCCTCGGTCGCAGTCGAGGATCGCATCACGCAAGTCTTTCACCCGGGTTATAAAATCTAGAACGTGCTCACCGTTCTTCATGTAGATACTGGTTAGTTCACCGCGGTAGTAGTCGACGGTGCGTTGTGGTCCGAAAATGTCCCTTAGGATGTTGCACAGCTCAGCGACGGTGTCGATTTCTTCGTCCTCCACGGCGGCAGCTGTGTGCCCACTCAAATGTCCAATAATAAGCTTAACCAGTGTTCCCTCGGCGTGAGCGGGAATTAACTGTCGGGCTCTTTTACACGCCCGTGTAAATGTTAATAAGGTCGGTGGGGAGCCGTTGAAAGCGGGCACCATCTTTACCGCTTCATTAAGGGTGTAACTGACAGATTCACTGGCAACGGCGACACTTGGCACCTCCATCTCTGCGGGTGGTTCTTCGGGAATATCACTTTTCTTTGGTATCGCGCCTTGGTTCTTTTCAGCTTTCCGGATTTTTGCTAACACCGCCTCGTTCCGTAGGCGAGCTTCCTCCAGCTCCCGTCTCTCGCTGTCAAGCATTCTGGCTTCCTCTCGAAGGCGCCTCTCCTTCTCGATTTGCTGTTTTTGCACCATGGCCACCTCGTCTTCACTCATCAGCTCCGTCTGAATTCGTTTACCGAGGGCGGACACGACCACTCGTTCTCGCGGAACGCCCGGGAAAAAGTCCACCAACACTTCGTCTGGCACTTCTCGGTGATTGTACACTTTTATGGCACCTCTTGTGTCCAAAATGTCATAACTGAACAACGGCACTTCGCGTGATGACGTCCCAGTGTCCGATTCACTATCTAAGGTCACAATTTCTGGTCCAAACACTTGTTGTAGAAACTTCTCTTCGAGGAGCTTGAGCTTCCTCGCCTTTACTCGCCGGCCCGCGCGGCAGCCACGCTTCCTTTTCCCCTATTTTCAAACGATGATTACTAAAATTTTATTTACGAGAGAAAAGTACAATTCCTGTACTCAGTCTCAATGACTTACCGGTATGCTGTTGGCTCGCGTATTCAGCAGCGTTTGTGGACGCGCAAAAATCCGGTTACCAACAGCGGTCGTCGGCTCGTAATTGAGCTACTCACTTAGTTGTACGCGAAAAATTCGCAGTTTCTTTCGATACTGTGGCAACACCTTCGCTTTTACGCGCAAGTGTGACACGAATATCTACGGAAAACTAACGAATTTTGTGGACAGAATGCCCTAAGCCTCTTCCAGGCAAGAGGTAGTACAGCCCTGGAGCGCACGTACCGCTTGCAAAGTCAAGAACGTTAGGGACAGTGATGAGATATTGGACGGGTTTTTTCGCGCATGCGCGGCAATTTTAGTCTCAGTAAGGTACAAGTTTCAATAACATGGGGTACCTTAATCACCTCTCATTATTTTTCAAAAATGTTTATAATCTGTTTGTGAAATATGAATATATAGGCCGGATAAGATTAAATTAGATACATATTTCCCTATTTGAGGAGCAGATGGAAAGGAAGGGAACTAAAATAACTGTAAGCAAAACATATAATATAAAAATAAATTATTTTATTTGACAGAATCAATAAAAGAATACCAACGTTTATTGCTAGGATAAGGAAAACTGCCAAAATCTTATCAGTATTCATAAAACAAAAATTACATTCATAATATTCATTATTAATAAAACTAAAAAACGATTTATAAAAGAATTGATAAAATAACATAACAAAATAATTTATAAAATAACTTTTAATATTACAATTTATATTTGGTACAATGTTTCTCTTAGCATTATAAAATAATAAATAAAAAAATAATAATAATAAAAGGAATTAAAAGAATATTGCACAAATAATATAAAATAAAATAAGTATAAGTTATAAGTAAACATATACGTCAAAATTGCACATATAATATAAAAATAAAATAAATAGAAGCTGAAAGTAAACATATAAACAAATATGCAATATATTAAAAACTGTTAGATGTCCATTTATCATCATACAAATTTTGCGTGTTATGCAGCTCAAAATGTCGAGAACCTGCTTCGAAATTAGTGCAATTAATCGTTTTTGTTTGAAAACTGGATCTGACTACACAAATTAATGAAACCATATCGTTAGATAATTGGTTTCTCTTTTTATTTTTAACATCAGTTACAATCGAAAATATACGCTCGGCTTCGACGTTTGAGTGGGATAAAGAAAGAATTATCTCAACTAGTGATTTTAAATTTGAAAACATCTGCTCCACATCGAAATTTATAAAATCTAAATTATGTTTCCACATTTTATCTAAACTTAATGCAATTAATTCTTTTTTACCATAGTCATTAAAAAAAGATGGTGAAATTCGCCATTCAAAAGCTAATTCTGTTAAATTAATAAAATTACTTATGCGTTTGGCGATAAAAGTTAAGTCTTTCATTTTTTGTCTACCTTCATCATACAACGCTATTTACGGATCTAGAAAATTTAATTGTTGAAAAAAAAGATCTTGTAAAGGTATACGTATAAGCATCTCTCGAACTGCAGTAATATAATAATTCAACCAATTTATTCGAATTTGTCGGGCAGATTCTACTTCTAGAGATTCTAAACAATTCTCGCATTCCGGTCCTGTATAAATATTTTCGATATTTTGAATATTTTCTACATTATCTACATCCAAAGATTCTATGTTTTTTAGCACATCAATTTTGATGAAATTTCGGCCTATTTGGTGAATTAATTTTCTGCTATTTTCAAATAATTTATGTATTAAAATACTGCAAAACTGAAACAGAGTATTGAAATTATTAAAAAAGTGTAAAGAATATTTAAGGAAAAGTATGTAGGCTTTAATCGTGGGGTTGTTAAAATAATCTAAAATACTTTCCGCGAAACTAGATTTTTCTTCTATTGCTGCTAAAATGAAGTAATTTTTTAAAACATCCCAATTATCTAATAATCTAATAATACATTTATGTAGGCAAAGCCATCTAGTATTTGATAATTTAACAATTTTTAATCGCTGAACTTCGAAAAAAATCTTGGAATTCAACCAACATTGCACATCTCTTTGCACTGCCCGAAATATAAGTGGCAATACATCTAATTAAATTTTCACATGCAGAAAGCAATTGGTCACAAGAGTGACTAGCTATAAGAGCGAAAGAGTGGTGAATACAATTTATTGTAATTACTTCTGGAACTTCTACTTTCAAATGTGACATAAATGAATTATTACGGCTGATCATAACTAGCGCATTATCGCACGCTATTCCAATAATATTTTTAATAGGAATTTTTTTTTCGTCTAAAGAATTTTTAACAATTTTAAAAATTTTACTCGCGGAACAATCGGTAGTATCTAATTGTAATAATTCTAATAACTGTGTTATAATGCTACTATCTATTTAGTGGTGATACATATTTCACCAGTACGCACATTAATTTTGTGTCTGAAATATCGGTACTTTTGTCAACTAAAATAGAAAATCTGCACGTTTTTAAATACTCAATTACGTTTTCAATTTCGCGTTTGGCGATAACATTTTTTATAATTTTTGCACAAGTTATGTGACCACCTGCAGTCCGGCCTTATCGCCACCGGCGGGATGAGGCCCCGCCATAGACGAAACAAAAGATAAGAGCCGTGGGTACCATCGCCTCGGCGACGAGGCACTGATTCATTCTTAATTAAGCCTGTGGTCTGTACGAACGGATAAAAATTAAAAGAAACGTGTTTATTTCAAAGTATTGTGCATTTATTTTAAAAACCATTCGACCATCCAGTAACATAACTCATACTTATGTCGAGCAAGTGAAAGATCCTATACAACTTCGGATTCAACACAAATATCTTTTAATAACGAAACCTACTGTACAAAATGTTACATTATGTTTGGCGAAAAATGCTAATAATGAATTTCAGCTCGTTTTCCTTTTCTTTATGCAGTAAACTACTCACGATAACATTATTATTATTATTATCGTTTGTGTCGAGTGAATTTATATTTCTACGATGTGAATTTGTTTTCTCATGACTATCTAAATCTGTTTTCTAGCATCTAATAGTGTTATTGCAAGCAATACAAAGCGCTCTATTTTCATCTACAGTAGGTCTTAACCATACTTTAAAGATATCATTGCCTAACATATTGTGACGTGGTATTTTATACCCGTCACAAGGAGCCTCCTCGGGAGACCGGACAGGTCATAGGTCGTTGGCAGAAACCGTCTAGAGAGAAAACGAAGCGCGTATAATATCGTATGAACGAAATCTGCCGCTGTATTATTTTGTATGTACCGCCGGAGAATGACGTCACTGTCAACGAGGGAACGACGTACGTCGAGGGAGCACGCCGCTGCCCTGCCGCTACCCCGCTTGGACCCTCCGATAGACCGAGAGAGGCGGCGGAGTAAGAGGAGAGAGACCAGCGAGAGAACGACGTACGCCGAAGGAAAGTGCCGATTTCTTGCCGCTTCCCTGCTACGGCCCTACGATAGAGGAAGAGAAGCTGCGGAGCCGGAGGAGGTCCTGCCGAAGAAGACTTCGCTAGAATTCGGAGACTCCGGTCGAGGGTGGGGGAAGGCTACGAGGTGTCCTAATACCGGCGCAAGGGCTCGCGGATCCTTATTCTGTATTCGGCACTTGCCTATAGTTTTCGCCTAAAAAGTAGTTATCGTTCCGTGAGGAAAAAGAGCAAGGATCATTCCGAGTTTCCGTGCCCAGTGTCTGGACACCTTGGTAAGCCCCCTCATTTACCGATATACATGTAAAAGAGCGCGAAATCGAGATCACCATATCGTGGGTTATCGACCACCTGGCTTGCCATTCACGGACAGGTTCTGCAAAGTGTGACCGGAGTGGCTTTGTATCGTAGGGCAATTAGTTTAACACATTGTACGCCGGTGGCATCTGAGACATTCAAAGTCTGAGCGCCGGCACCGTGTCAACCGTCTAAAGCCTAGGCGCCGGCATCATTCGCTTGTTGATGACTAATGAATATGTGAAGAAAATATGTAAAATTTTTATACATTATCGTAAAATACTAAATTTGGTTTGCATATTCATTATATGCAATTTAAGGATAACGAAAAATAGAAGCAAAATAAAAAAAATTTAATTTATTATAAAAAAATACACCTGTTTTATTTGATGATTGATTATTACATATATGTATATAATATAAACTCAAAGAAAAATATTAGTATTTAATGGATGTATGGTATTTTTTGAAACACTTTCCAAGATGTAAAGGTACTTGGCAAAGAGAACACATAAAACACAGCAAACAAATCACCAAACAAGACAATGTTGCATTATCGCAGAGCCGGCGCTGAAACGACAGACCTCGAATCCCGCGTTTTCGCGGGGCCGGCGTACAATGTGTTAAAATAAATCGCAGTTGCGAAAATGTTCTTTCAACGCTGACTTGCGTCATGGGTACCGCTAGGACAGTACTTGCAAGTCGGTATAGCTCCTGATTTGTGTCTTTCATGGTTTCCCAAAACCACAGAATATTTGTTTCAGGAGGTAATCGGGGACGCAGAGAAAAATCGTGGAGAAGTTTCCGAATATCTTCATTCCTTGGTGCTTTAGGTTTGCCGCCGAAGAAGTGGAACATTGTGTGGCAACTTGGTGAAAAGATTGATATATCCCAAAATCATTAATGTACCTGCAATTAAATACGGGCAAGAGTGCGAAGAAATTGCCCGTGAAGAATTGAAGAAATATACAGGGAAAGATATTAAAGAATGCGGAATCTTCATTGACAGATCCCATTCATTCATAGGAGCATCGCCGGATGGTATCATCGATAAAGAGGGCATAGTGGAAATAAAGTGCCCGAAGACAGCAGAGAATTTGTTGCCAGAAGAGGCAATCAAGACAATCCCATCTATCCGGCGGATATTTGAAAATGATGTCGGTACTGCGTTAAATAAAACCCATCAGTACTATTACCAAGTCCAAGGTCAGCTGCACGTAACAGGCAGATCGTATTGCATATTTTGCATTTGGACAAGAAAAGGAATAAACTGCGTTACTGTCGAAAGAGACGACGTGTTCTGGAAAAATCAGATGGAAGCCAAATTGATTCAGTTTTACACTGAGTGTATGCTACCGGAATATGTAGACAGCCGGTATAATAGGGGTATGCCCATTAGAGAACCCCAATTTATAATGGATGAAAGAGAGCGCTTGAAAAAGCGAAAAAGGTCTGCTACAGAAAGTAACGAAGACGTTGCAAAGATCCGACGTCGGATTGCGCTATAAAGTGCGGTTGCAGACGCCGGCCCGCACGCCCTTCGTGGGCGTGCGCCTGTTGACTTGTTCACGGGGTGGAAGTATAAAAATAAAAAAAAGTTGCAACGATCCGGCGTCAGACAAAAATTTCAAAGTGCAGTTAAAGACGCCGGCCCGCACGCCCTTCGTGGGCGTGCGCCTGTTGACTTGTTCACGGGGTGAAAGTATAAAAATAAAAAAAAGTTGCAACGATCCGGCGTCAGACAAAGGTCCAAAGTGCAGTTACAGACGCCGGCCCGCACGCCCTTCGTGGGCGTGCGCCTGTTGACTTGTTCACGGGGTGAAAGTATAAAAATAAAAAAAAGTTGCAACGATCCGGCGTCAGACAAAGGTCCAAAGTGCAGTTACAGACGCCGGCCCGCACGCCCTTCGTGGGCGTGCGCCTGTTGACTTGTTCACGGGGTGAAAGTATAAAAATAAAAAAAAGTTGCAACGATCCGGCGTCAGACAAAGGTCCAAAGTGCAGTTACAGACGCCGGCCCGCACGCCCTTCGTGGGCGTGCGCCTGTTGACTTGTTCACGGGGTGAAAGTATAAAAATAAAAAAAAGTTGCAACGATCCGGCGTCAGACAAAGGTCCAAAGTGCAGTTACAGACGCCGGCCCGCACGCCCTTCGTGGGCGTGTGCCTGTTGACTTGTTCACGGGGTGAAATTACAATTATGTTATCTTTTCTGTTTCATTTCATCCCATCACAATGAAAGAAGCCCATTACCTTCTCGTGAAATAAAAAAAAGTTGCAACGATCCGGCGTCAGACAAAGGTCCAAAGTGCAGTTACAGACGCCGGCCCGCACGCCCTTCGTGGGCGTGCGCCTGTTGACTTGTTCACGGGGTGAAAGTATAAAAATAAAAAAAAGTTGCAACGATCCGGCGTCAGACAAAGGTCCAAAGTGCAGTTACAGACGCCGGCCCGCACGCCCTTCGTGGGCGTGCGCCTGTTGACTTGTTCACGGGGTGAAAGTATAAAAATAAAAAAAAGTTGCAACGATCCGGCGTCAGACAAAGGTCCAAAGTGCAGTTACAGACGCCGGCCCGCACGCCCTTCGTGGGCGTGCGCCTGTTGACTTGTTCACGGGGTGAAAGTATAAAAATAAAAAAAAGTTGCAACGATCCGGCGTCAGACAAAGGTCCAAAGTGCAGTTACAGACGCCGGCCCGCACGCCCTTCGTGGGCGTGCGCCTGTTGACTTGTTCACGGGGTGAAAGTATAAAAATAAAAAAAAGTTGCAACGATCCGGCGTCAGACAAAGGTCCAAAGTGCAGTTACAGACGCCGGCCCGCACGCCCTTCGTGGGCGTGCGCCTGTTGACTTGTTCACGGGGTGAAAGTATAAAAATAAAAAAAAGTTGCAACGATCCGGCGTCAGACAAAGGTCCAAAGTGCAGTTACAGACGCCGGCCCGCACGCCCTTCGTGGGCGTGCGCCTGTTGACTTGTTCACGGGGTGAAAGTATAAAAATAAAAAAAAGTTGCAACGATCCGGCGTCAGACAAAGGTCCAAAGTGCAGTTACAGACGCCGGCCCGCACGCCCTTCGTGGGCGTGCGCCTGTTGACTTGTTCACGGGGTGAAAGTATAAAAATAAAAAAAAGTTGCAACGATCCGGCGTCAGACAAAGGTCCAAAGTGCAGTTACAGACGCCGGCCCGCACGCCCTTCGTGGGCGTGCGCCTGTTGACTTGTTCACGGGGTGAAAGTATAAAAATAAAAAAAAGTTGCAACGATCCGGCGTCAGACAAAGGTCCAAAGTGCAGTTACAGACGCCGGCCCGCACGCCCTTCGTGGGCGTGCGCCTGTTGACTTGTTCACGGGGTGGAAGTATAAAAATAAAAAAAAGTTGCAACGATCCGGCGTCAGACAAAAATTTCAAAGTGCAGTTAAAGACGCCGGCCCGCACGCCCTTCGTGGGCGTGCGCCTGTTGACTTGTTCACGGGGTGAAAGTATAAAAATAAAAAAAAGTTGCAACGATCCGGCGTCAGACAAAGGTCCAAAGTGCAGTTACAGACGCCGGCCCGCACGCCCTTCGTGGGCGTGTGCCTGTTGACTTGTTCACGGGGTGAAA